GGCAAGATCACTAATTTAACACCTAATAATAGAAATCTATTCGACCGTTTGTGCAAAATTTCTAATTTTGTCCACTGAATTCAGCGGAGCATCGTTTTATGATGAGAACCGAATTAAGGAACCAATTAAAAAATTAATAAAAGTCCAGTTAAATTTGACAATGTTTAATATCACAAGAAGTTTTAAATCGATATTATCTTATCATCACGACGACATAAACAATATCAGATCATAATAACTTAATTATAATTAATTAATTGCAGTTTATGGCGTGATTATAATTTAGCAGCAAAAATAGCCGTCAATGAATTTTCCTCATAATAGCCCATTTATGTAATCTTCATGTTCTTATTATTTACATATAGTATATAATCTGTCCGAATAAGAATTTTTCAATAACTGTCGCAAATGAAGTAATTCTAAAAACCAAACGATGACAAAGAGTAACATACTTCTAGATAGAACCAGCTTTCAACCTCATATTAAATTATTATACTGACCGTCTAATTAGATTTAATAAAAATGAGATCGACGTTCGTAGAATGCTTTGAATGCCACATGGTAAATGAGATTATGACAAGTCTCTGTCGGTTTTTCTATTAGTTATACTCAGTTTAATGGCGCTCTAATCCTTAATCAAGAAAAGTTCATATCATAAAATAATTAAATTTCATGGATAAATTTCTTTAGCTGTCGAATTTCATTAAACAATCCTCCTACGCTTTATTTAATATCATTGGATAATACTGCATCAAAGTAGCGGTAAAAGTGGACGCAACTTTAAATGCGATAAGTCTATTAAAACAAATAAAATTTTAATCTGTACTATATAAATCTGTATTTCAGCAATCTTGGTGCAAAAAAAGTAATTTGATTTAGCTAAATAGAGTAATATCAATCGATTTCACTGCTATATTGGTGGAATATTGATGTTCAGCTAAATCAAATTTATCAACCTTTGGCTTGAACTCTTTATAGATTTTACCGAGAAAAAAGTCGTCAAATCATATCATGAATATTTATTATTTAATTCTTTCGAAAAAATAATTCATAAATCGCTTTTGGGTCTTTAATTTTTAGAAATACAATACCGTGTATTCTATTAATTATATTTTTGAGGTGTTTACTATGAGAAGCTCAATTCAGTATTATAAACGACATCTCTATACAATGCACATATAACTGCTCATATTAACGCACTGTTTATCGAGAAGAAAATCAGCATTGACTTTACAGTTTTTACTATAGATTATTTTAATGCATGCTTTAAATTATACCTACTTCATAACCAATGCGTTAATAGCTTATTAGCCAAGAAAATGTATTAACATGACATTTTCTGATATGTTCAGGTATGGTTTCAAAATCGTCGCGCAAAATGGCGAAAACGTGAAAGACAAGCAACCAATATTAGCACAATTAGTGGTAGTACTGCGCCTGTAAGCGTTGGTGTAAATCAGTATTCCTATTCATCAGCTCAAATTAGTCGACCGGATTATAATCACGGCATGCAAGTACCATTGCAGCAATCTGTCTTTACAGGTGAAAGCTTGATGCAAGGCAATCCACGAGCTGGTCCATCGCAATATGGTTCTACCACCAAATCGTTTCAGCAGTTACCTCTTATTGGCACACCAGATTTAATGACTCGATTTAACCATAGATATGGTTCCTATCCATTACCTACTGTCCAGCAGTATACTGCTAGTAGTAATGCCTCTTCAAATGCCGTATCTGGAGACGCTAATTTTCAACACATAACAACACACCAAGCCCATGATGGTGTACCGCAACAATCAGGCGGAGGTTATTACGCATCAGTTTCAACTAATCTTAATATGTCATGATTCAATTTTTGTATTCTATCTACACTATTGTGGTATTATCGCTGACTTATTTCATGAAAGTGTGTTTGGTGTATCTATAATAAGAGAATTTACTTTTTTGCTCATAAAAATTGCTCATATTCAGGAAAATAACTCACTTCTATTAAATTAAAAGTAATACAAGTATTATCATTTTATGCGGTGATAACCAAAATGGTCAAATTTTGATCATATTAATGTGCCGTAGACATTTTAACCTCATTGCTAAGATAAGTTTCAGATTTTGATTTATTTCAAGATAATCAGTCAAGCTGAGAGCAACAATCTTACCAGTGATTATATATCATAGCTAGTAAAATCTTAGCATTGAGTACCGTAGAAGTTGCATTGCCAAGATATAATGAAGATAGCAAAATGATACTTATATATCGTCTCTAGATACTGTATCGTAGAAGCCCATAATATTTATAAATATTCATCACCGAAGATCCTGATGCAAGTACATAAATCAGCATTATATCTAGCAGCATACTGTAGTAGCGCGCATACTGAATTAATAGTAATAATTATTCCATGGCTTTGTTAGTAAATTGCAATAGTTATGTACAATCTTAAGAATTGATAAGGCTACTATCTACAGGACATCACGGCTAGCCTTTCTCAATTAAGATTCCATCGATCAATTAATTATCAATGCAATATGCGGGTTTTAGAGGAGCTCGGTATTACGTTGATGAAGAAAATTACATTTAGCATTAATTCCTCAGTCTCAGTTAAAATATTATTAGATTCGAAATATAACTAAATGCAATGTACTCAATATCTATTTCACTGCATCGCTAAGTTTGACTTTTAACCTTTTAATATGAAGAAAATTATGTGATGATACGTTATATATTGTTATGCATTATAGATGCAAGACGATTGAAATCACTGAAATCGCTCGATTTAATTCACTATCAATTAAATGAAATAAAATGCTTGAAATTTCCAAACTATTCTGACTCACGCAACCAATATCAACTCTTTTCTTATATGTTGTATTGCTCAATAGAATAAAATCAGACTAGTAAAACAATAGTTGTTATTCCAAAATTAAAATGAAACAGATTTGAACCCCTAAGTATTCTTCATACCCGATAAACCTTGTTTAGGTTGAGAATATGTATGAACAGCAGCAATATTAGTGCGTATATGAATCTCAATTACTGAAAAGAAGATCTCTCTTTTTGTTATCGGTACAGTTTAAGCAAACCTAAGATCACATCCATAGCAAATCAATTATGAAGCATTCTGAGAGCAATGGACCGTTTGTAATACCGTATGAAATAAGTTCATATTTTTAGCTTATAACTGTATAGTAGTCATATATGATATAGGTTATAGCTATGAAATACTGTGCAATGAAATCAGCTAATTACGGTAGTTATGCGTTAAGGGATACAGTGATAGTATGTATCATCGAACATATAGTGTATGTCTTAATGAAGTAATAAATAATGTCATTAGTATTGCAGGAAAATAAGCTAAATGTATTCGTATTTAAGAAGCCGAAATATCGCATTAAGGGATTATGATAAATATAACTAATCGATGTTACTAAACTGACACTTCTTGATCATATAAAAGGGGTTAGGGTTAGGGTTAGGGTTAGGGTTAGGGTTAGGGTTAGGGTTAGGGTTAGGGTTAGGG